CCTGATTACAGGTTTAAAAAGTTGTTTTGTTTGTTGTTTTTTTTTCCCCACTCTTTGTTAGAATCAAAACCACTACAGATTGGAATTTAAAAAGTAGATTCTTTTTCTCTATAAAATTTTCATATATGTGAAATGCTATAGGTTATTATTGGCAATACATTACCTAAAGGCATAGCCATTCCAAAATAGTTTGTGATGTTCTTAGAAGTAAGAACTACATGTGCAGTATTGCAGTAGCGTAGAATATTTCCACATTAATTTTATTGCCATTTTAAGTTATAAATGCTGAAGTCAGTTTAGATGCAGGGGAAATCATTGTATTGGGGCAAAAATTCATTCCTCCCAAAGCTCTTCAGCCTCCTGCCTTTGCCATGCCTTTATCCCCAGCTGTTAGAATTTTCAAAATCTGTACTAAATCTGTTTTATTCAGTCTAAAATTAATTGTAAGGATTTAACATGATGCAGTCTTTATGCTTATGTTAAATGTCTTGGTTTTTTTTTTTAATTTTATTTGACTACTTCAATTAAGATGACTTCTGTAGAAGAAAAAAATAAACTTTCTTTAGTAGTCATAATTGAGGGAAAAAAAGCATGGCATCAGAAAGCATATGAAGATAGGGAAGTCTTATCATGGGCTGTGGTTACTCGGAGCAGTATTGCCTTCCCACACAAAGAACAGATTGTGGTTTAACTCTTTCCATGGCCTAGTTTTATGTGCCAGTATAGTATCAGAATTGTTCAAATCTCTGCTGGAAACTACTAATCAGTTTAATTATTGCCTTTGTGGCTCTTTGACAAGGATCATACTGTAATGCAATCATTTATGTCCTGAATTATCTTCCTGTATTGTCTCTCTCTTTTTTTTTTTTTTTTTTCTGTGAAGGTAACGTGGTCAGAGGTAAACTGCTTGCAATTTTTCTGGTGTTTTCTGTTTGATTTGAGATTGGTTAGGGAAGAGAGGTAACTAGATCTAGTGGGGTTTTTTACCATTCAGGAAACTTAGAAGTTTGTTTGAAATTTGAAGATTTAAATACTAAATTCTTGGCCTGAAGCTTCTACAATAGCAGTCTGAATTCTCTATAATTGAGACCATTAATTATACTTTCATCATTTTTACCTAGTGGAGTTAATCAGCCTATTGATTAAACGTAACTCATTCCTTGTCTGGCAGCGTAGCTAAAATATTAGTTTGTTAATTGTATTCTCTAATATAATTGTATAAAAAAAGGTTCAGTTTTAGTTTGATTACGCTGTGCCACTCAGTACAATGAGCAATCTGCATGGCATTTAAAACTAAATATGCCTGCACACAGGAAGAAAGATACCTCCCCTAAGGTCTCCCTTCCAAACCAGAATACAGTAATGTTTGATAAGGAGATCACGCTGTTTTAAACAGCAGATTTGCTCACAGAAAAGAGGCATTAGTTTTTGGGAAAAGCCTATTTAGATATTAACGTGGATGTGTAGGATGGTACTTTAAGCAGACAAAACGAATTAATTTAATTGCTATAGGATGTACTTGTAGACGACAACTAAGCGTTACCTCCTTAATGAAATCCATAGCGTTGCTAGGCAGAAGATAAGAACTTGCAGGTGAAGCCGGGTGACAGAAAGGGATATTTTGGAACTGTAAACAAATTGCATGAATTTCACAAAAGCAGCATTTGACCAGCGGTGCACTCATAATGTCACTCTGCCACAGCATGCAGAAACACAAAGAATGCAAAGTTTGTGCCAAGTTGCCATTTTTCATTGTACACCTCAGATTGATTTTTAAGGGGTTTAGAATAATTGCCACACTCATGTGATCAGTTAAGAAATTAACTGACTCTGTGGGGCTTCAAAACCCACAGTGGAGCTACCGGAAAAACATAAATGTAATTTTTCTTCCCAAATTCATAAACTTTTATTTTACAAAGTTTGGGGGTGGTGGGAGGGAAGCCCGAAGAGCTGAAAGTACAGAAGCTTCTGTTCAGGATTTGTATACAACACGCTGCGTCTTTTGCCTGCTTTCCCTTACTGTATACTGGTTTCTCTAGTTACCACCACTGGAATGGTGCTGTTTCAGTGCTGGAATGTTGAACGTTTGATAAGAAAATGGATCAAGTTTAATGGCGCATGCTCTTTGTGCCACCAGCCGTCTCTTGCTGAGAGCATGCTCCGAAAGCGGGAACTGTGTGGCATTACACTGAGCATGTATATGCTTTGTGTTTCTGTGCCACAGAGAAGAGAAATGAACTGTGGCATTCGCCTCAGCCTCCTGAACATTTCTGCTCAGATTTTTTAAAACCATATAGTGTCCTCTTTGTGCAATGGTACTTTTCTTGATGTTAGCTGTTCACTCAGACATTTAAATGTTAGAAACAAAACATCTTGATAGCATCTCTTTTAAATGATGTTGTCTCTGCAGTGTTGCGGGATGAAGTGCGGGGAGGCATACAAAATAAAATCTTCACATGGTTCTTTCAATGAGTGAAATATGGGGAAAATGCAATTCTCTGTGTACTTTTTGTCTGCTGCCTGACAGTGGTAGCAATTGCATAAAAGGTGTTATGCAGAAATTTACGTAAATTTTAAATGTTTATTCTCTTCATCTTGAATTTCACTTTAACATTTTCAGGAACCTTTCTTGAATACTGCTTTGGTTATGAGAGCTTACTGACTTTGAGTTTTCTTCTCTTCTTTTTTTTCCTCCCCTTCACTTCTTTCCACAGGATGAATTTCACCCGTTCATTGAGGCACTTCTTCCACATGTCCGTGCAATTGCCTATACTTGGTTCAACCTTCAGGCTCGAAAACGCAAGTACTTCAAAAAACATGAGAAACGAATGTCAAAGGACGAGGAAAGAGCAGTCAAGGATGAGCTACTTAGTGAAAAGCCTGAAATTAAACAGAAGTGGGCATCCAGGCTCCTGGCCAAGCTGCGCAAAGATATTCGCCAAGAGTTCCGCGAGGATTTTGTGCTCACAGTGACTGGGAAGAAGCACCCATGCTGTGTATTGTCCAATCCCGACCAGAAGGGTAAGATTAGGAGAATCGACTGCCTGCGACAGGCTGACAAAGTCTGGCGTCTGGATCTAGTCATGGTGATCCTGTTCAAAGGCATCCCCTTGGAAAGTACGGATGGAGAGCGGCTCATGAAATCCCCACATTGCACAAATCCAGCACTTTGCGTCCAGCCACATCACATAACAGTATCAGTCAAGGAGCTTGATTTGTTTTTGGCATACTACGTGCAGGAGCAAGGTAGGAAGCGGATTGTTGTGTTTCTATGTTAGTATGTCAAACTCTGATTCCAAGTAGCCCTGTTTCCCCTGTGGGCTGGCTTCCAGTGAAAAATTATTCTGTGGTCTATAGACGTGACGTGGGTTACATATCCATATGTAAATCAGCATGTATACGTATATACTTACATACACACACATTCCTACAGACCTGTGTAAATGACATGTAAGTTTGACATACGTGCCTTGTTCTCTTTCAGGAGAGCGCAGGACATACCAAGGTAGTACTTCAGTTCCACTGAAGTTGCTCTTGTTTTTTTTTTGTCAAAAAGCAGCAATATATTGTGTAGTTTTTCTAGTCCTGACTTCAGAAAACATTCTTCTTGTTTTGTTTTTTTTTTTTTTTTTTTTTTAGTTCCCCCAGATGCATCTATGTGCAATTGCACTATCACAGTAAATATTACAAATATTTATTATTGTCTTTGTAGTTACAAATAATCAAGAATTTGTCCTTAACTATGGCTTTGAAGAGCAATTGTAGACTTTCTTAACCTCTATGAAGTAAAAGATGAAAAAACTTTAGCACAGAAATACTGCTTTGTAAATACCATATCTTGTCAGAATTACAGTATACAGTGGCTAACATTTTATTCGTATTTTAGGTCAGTAGCTTGTCTTACCTATCTAAGCTTTGAAACAAAGATGCAGGTTGTAATTTTTGGATAACATTTTCCATGAAAAGTATATTTTCATAATCACACTAGTATACTTAATTTCATTTGACATAATTGAAATGTAGAAAATTGAAGAATGCTGTGGCAAAGCTTCTTAAACTTAGTTTTACAGAATTAAAAAAACCCCAGGGCTTCTGATAACCACGTAGCAGGGAAAAAGCTACTAGTCATATTGCATATTCAGATAATGATACTCATAGGCAGGTTCCTCAAAACTGTAAATGTCTATACGTAGATAAAGTTTTTTTTTCCTCCTCAAGCCTTCTGAAATGCTTTTTCTTTGTGAGGGGTCATTTTGGTTCTTTCTGGTGATTATACCATGCTCTAGACAGCGCTGTATTGCTGACTGATCAGCAGTAATAAAGCATTTCTATTTCAGCTGCAGATCTCAACTAGGGAAAGTTTGACCGGCTGCAGATGGTGGACCATTTCACAACTTGGCCTGGTAGTAGGCAGAAATGGCCTGCAGAAGGGCAGATGGCAGGCTGTTATCTGATGCCTGGTACATAACTGAAAAACAAATGGAATTGGTTTTTTTAGTAACAAAAGAGTAAAATCGCACATGTCTTCATTTGGTGTATACTTGTTCTTTAAAATACCAGATACTTTTTGTTTTCAGTGAATTTGTCTTTTAGCATTTACTTATGCAAGTGGAACACTATGTTTACATAACGTATGAATAGTGTTCTATTTTTTTGATTATTCATCATGAAAAAATATGGATATTTGATTTGTTTTGTTTTGTTTTTTTCCCTTGCCTGTATTTTTTGCATTTTTCTCTCCACAGCAGTAGACAGCACTTAAATATTTTGCAGCGACTTAAGTAGCTGCAGAGTGTGGTAAATCTGATCCCCAATAACATAGAAAGAAAGGGTTCTTTGATAGCATTAAACAAAATAGTTTAATTACAAATAATTTGTACCTTTAAACTGCTTTAGTGAAGAAAAATTAAAATGATAGTTTGCATATCTTACAAAAATTTTTGCAAGACATAGCTTACTGATTAATTCTAATGGATTTACCTGTCTCTAAAAGTCAAAACTACAAAGGGAGGCAAAAAAGTTTAAGTAGCTCTCAAGCTGAAGAAGCTGGGGTCAGAGTACTCTTACGCACTGTCGACTTTTAAGTTGTTGGAAGTCAATAACTTGAAGTGGGAGAAGGAATTGCACGGCATAGCTGATTTTATTGATTTAAATGGATTGAGAATATGATTTTATTTAGAACACTTGTCCAACCAGAAATGAGGAAGATAAGCATGCTGTAATGCTATAACTTCCAAAGTTACACGATGATACTTTGAGAACATACTGGAAGATGAAGCTGGCTAATTTCTATGTACCGTCACCCTTAGTAGACCCTTTTGTTTATTGTAAACTGCATGTATTTAGTATCTGTCTTGCTGCTTCACAGTAAATCTTCCATTAACATCTGTTTGCTCTCTTCTTGAAGAAGTCATATTAAGATATCTTTGTATTGTTTCTCCGTTTTGTCAAACTTTGATTCTCTATCCTCATTGAAAGCAGGTTAATTGTGGCACTTTGTAGTGCACTTGATTAAAAGCACCAGGCTTTGCAAAAGATAAGCATGAAGTCAACGAAAATGCTGCATCATAGACATGCTGTTTTGCTTTTTATTTCTCTTTTAGAATATATAAGCCCGCCTAATAGTATAATGTAAAAACTAAGTGGAGCTGTAGAAACAATTAAATCCCTGCACAAAATATGAAGAAGGAATTAGCACATAAAATGAATAAAGGGGCCTAGTAGTTTGTTTTTTTGTTGCTTTAAAAAAGAAGATTAGGGGAAAAAAGAGGAGGAAGGATAGTTTGAGTGCCAGTGATGGTTGCCAGTGGCACCAGGATTGGCATCAGACCTTCTTTGTTTAGCCTAGGATGCCTGTGATTTGTTGGTTGGCATCCGCATTGCAGTGCAGAGTAATGTTACAATATATTGACAATTTCCAGATCTAGAAGTGTCAATAATCCTTTCAGTTCTTAATAGAAAGAGCTTCTACTTCCATGCTTGCCTTGAAAGAAGAAATAAGCACAGACTTACGAAGTTCTGTCATTGACCAACTTCATCTTGTTCTACTTTTTGCTCATCTCCCTCAGAATTCAACAACTT